GATGTGTAGCATGTTTGTGTGTGTGTGTGTGCTTGCCTATCACACATAGATATCTACGCGAGTGTATGTGTATGTGTGTGTGTGGGTGCTTTTTACTGTGCGCCGAGTGCGAGACTCTGAACTGGCAAACTAAACTAACGCCGCAGTGGCAGCCGCTCGAACGTTTACGAAAATTACAAAGAGCCGAAGAGAGAGAGAGAGAGAGAGCGGCGCAGCTAGCACGCAGTACAGCGGGGGGCGCTCTGAAATAGCGGCAAACTCGGTGGCGGCGGCGGCGGCGGGTAAGGGGTGGATAGAGAGCAGTAGTAGTAGCGTAGCGCACGCGGGGGCGCACCACACTCAGAAATTGGTCCAGGATGGATAGACGAGCGGCGCGGGCGAGAAAGGAAGATCGGCAGTAGCGGCGGCGGCGGCAGCATCAGCGGCGTCGTCGCGGTTGCCACGGTGACCGGCATTGATTACTCCTCCCTCTCCTGACGCTGCTGCTCCCCCTCTCGTGTCGCTGCTGCTGTTCGCAGCACCCACTACCACCACCACCACCACCACCACCAACACCATCACCAGGCACCAGGCACCCTGAACCCTTACTACTACTACTTCTACTGCTGCTGCTGCTGCTGCTACTTTACTATACTACTGCCGGCGCTGTTGCTCCTGCTGCTGCTGCTACTACTGCCTATGTACTACTACTGCTTTATACGTACTACTACTAGTTCTACTAGCTGAGACTATATTCCCGTGTGCTTATGTGTGTGTGTGTGTATTATATCTCGACACAACGCCTCGCCACCGCCACCGCTGCGTTTACCTCTATCTCATCTGCATCTTTCCGGGTAGGGGGCCCACTAGCTGTGTCCTCGAGGCACATCAATCTGGCGGCGTATCTCCCGCGCTTAACGCTCTTTCGGCTTTTAATGCCTTTCTCAACAACCTCGACTCTCGCGAGTCTTGTTAATGATATCCTGGCGCGCGCGCGCCCTTTCGTGGTCCAGCTGTGTGCGATTACGATATTGGGCAGCTTACGTTTTGGCACTGTCGCGACGTTTAGAGGAAATGCCTCGTGCAAGCTCTCGCAAGCTCTCGCATAAATATTCGCTCGAGATTCCTTTCTTTGACTCCGTATGCTCGTACGACTGTATGTGTGTATGTGTGTGTATTATATTGGTTATAGGCAATTTTTGTTCGAGCTCCTTTGTATAACTACGACGCGCGTGCGAAGGGGGGCAGAGGTTCAGCAGCTTGATGCGAGAGACTTTGTCGCATCCGGCTTTCCACCGCCACACGCGCGCGTTCCGAGCTTTTCTCCGTGTGTGATTTTCGTTCCCTCGCGGCTACCGCGTGCATCGCGTCGTGACTCCCTTTTTCTCCGCTTAGATCCTCTTCGTTGCCTTTTTCGATTGTTTTTTCCGCGCATATTTCCTTCTTCCCCACCCGGTTTCGGCGCGGGTAAGCTTTTTTTTCAAGTATTTACCCGCGATTTTGCTCCCGCGGCTATACAGCGACGGTGCGGTGGCGTACCCCCACGTCTGCTTTACGCGCTTCATCCGGTTTTCGTGTATATTTTTTGTCGCGAAGTGCGGTATACGTATACAATACGCGGTCTCGCGCGACGGCACGGCGGGCCCCCCTCTCTCTCTCTCTCTTTATCCGCTCGCATCTACGTACTTTTTATCTCATCCTCCTGTTCATCTGTAAAACTCGCGTCAACCCCTCCTCCCTCTCTTTCGAGACTTTGACTTATGCCTATCTTTTTATCCAGTTCTTTATTTTTCTCTCCTTCTATACTTCTACCCACTATTTCGCGCTTACACGCATAAACTCGCACGGCACATACATACATATACCGCAGGTATACATACTCAAAATAACTTAGGATGCCTTTGCCGCTCGGTGTATAACGTATACCTATGGGTGTATATACGTTCTCCTCTAATCCCCGCATTTCTTTATTTCCGTCTTCATCCTTCTTTACGGTTCTACTTTCCATCGAATCATTTCCCCCCTCCTCCTCCTCTTCTTCTTTCTTTTTAGTCACTTGGATACGTATATAGGTATAGCACATATACATATATTTTATAACTTCTTGCCTCTTTTTTTTCTACCTATTTTTCCGTGACGCCTTTTTTTTTGTTGTACCACGTAATATACGTTTTTCACTTTCAACTTTTCTCTTTTTCGCCAACCCTAAAACTTTTTCATTTATTTCGCGCTGTATACCCTCTCTTTCTCTCTCTTCTCTCCGCCCCAGCACACTTTCTTCCGCACCATCTCATTTTCTCTCTTTCCATTTTTCTATCTTTTCCCTTTTTTTTGCTTCGTCTTCTTCTTTTTTCGTTACTCGCAGTTTCGTTACTGCAACTCGTCGACGAGATACCGTTTTCTTGTTTCCCTCGCTTGGCTTTCTAATTCTTTGAATACTCTTTTGACATTTTATTATTTTTCTCACAAACAGTCACGTACCTGTGAGGTTTTGTAACTTTTTGTTTCTGTAATCTTCGAAGCCGATCAGATTTGCCATGAATTAGTCGATCGGTTTGATTTATCAATCGTGGCAACAGTTTTTGACAAGTTGTAGCTCGTTTTGCACCAAAAAAAAGCTCGGTTCGATGATTTTTCCATCGTGCAAAATCACTCGTCTTTTATTCCTACCCTTTTTCCGTTGATATCTCGCGAAATTTCCCGCAATTTTCACATTTAGTTTTGTATGCCAGCTGCAAAGGATAGCGGCATGAAAAGTCTATAATAGGAAATTGCCTTTCGCACGCTTATCCTCCCTCGAGCCTTGCAGTGTTGCGTAGTGTATGTATACGTGTGTGTGTATGTATAGCAACATCCTGATCGGTTGTAAAGGTACACATAAGAGCGAGAAAAATAAAAAAGAAATAGGAGTGCGCGGGTACGTAAAAGAAAGGAAAAAGAAAATACTCTATCCGTACGTGAGACTCGTACGACATCAATCTCATTTCGGTTCACTTTTCCTCTCTCTATCTGCCTCTTTCTCTCGCCAGATCTCGATGCTTTTCTTGTTTTCTCTTACCCATAAATACGTATACATATTATATACCGTCGCGTTTGATTTGCACGTATATTGCCGCTGCTCGCAAGCTGTATTATACGTATACTGCACTAACGCAGCCGCAGCTTCCGCAAGCTCATTTCTTTGTGTGTTCTTTTTTTACTTTTTCTTTGTTTTTCGTACTTTCGTTCGAGCACGTTATAGCCGGCTCGTGCATGGCTTGACCCAATTTCAATTCCCGTCATTTTCGGTTTCGTGTAGAAGAGCACGCGAGACGCGCCGCGTCAACGGACGAAAAAGCCCCGGCGCGAGGGAACGGGGAGCGACAACGGCGACGACGACTACATCGAGTTGTGCTCGCGTAAACCTCGATAATGAGGAAACGCCACTTGCATTCGTTTTGCCGACTGCTGTTATTCCGCCACATCGAGTCGACGCGTGTGAAATGTGCAACGAGCCTCGATCATCTCTGTGTTTATTCGCGGTTTTTGTTATAATTCGTCGCCTCGCGTTGATATATAATAAAAAGAAAATCTTTATACATATAGATCAGTGATATTTTCAGTGGTATTTATAAGTGGGATTGGTTTCAACCTTAGATGCAAAAGTCTTAGTTGGGTATAATAAAAATAATTTTTCGCGAGTTTCCAATACAATACACGACGATTTACAATTAATGGCTTAATACTTTTTGCTTTATAACTTATGCGACTAGCTTTATGGTTTTAATTACATGATTACGTTTTCCGCACACTCGCCATCTAGCGGTAATCATCAAAACAATGACTTGTCGACAGCTTCTAAATATCGGCATGCGGCGCATGAAGTCACGTATTGTAGTAAAGCTCTTAAAAAAGTATCAGATGATACAACCTCGTGACGAAAGAATGAATCCCTTTTGCGTATTCAAGGTATATTACATTACTAAACGCGTTGCATTGATACGCCGCATAAACAGCTGAGCTACGGATATAGCCTCCGTAAGCTTGCGATGACCACACGCGAACAGCTTAAGCACCCACGTACGCACATTTAACCCGTCAAGTGTTGAGTATTGCTTTGTAAGTTCTACTCTTGATCGTTGGAGTTTGCACAGTGCGGAGGACACGAATTGGTGATCGCCTCCAGGTTAATATCAATTACAATCGAATGGAGTTAGTGTGCATTGCACATGCCTGTATAAGCGCCTGTGATTCCGATATTTAAATTATAACTTTTCATGACAATTAGTTGCAAAGATCAGTTGACATACAGTATTAGAATAAATTCGAGTCACGATCGCGATTTTTTATTTCCTCCGAGCATATGTTGCATAGCGTTTATATCACAGAGCAGAAGCTACAGCTGGCCTCGCATCTTCGCATTTAGTCAGCTGCTCGCGGGCGTCGCTCGACACGTCGACGCGAACGTAATCGAGTCGAGTGATCGCGCGCGAACATTTCCCAACTCGACTCTCGGAGTCATTCGTCTTATATAATAAATACTTAGATCTCAAATCCTTATGCAATAATTAGCCCAAATAAACCCAAGTAGGAGTTTGCCCAGAATCGGTTTACATTTATTTAAGAATCGACGATTTTGATGGTTTTTTTGCCGAAACCCGGCAGAAATTTCATAAAAAATAAATCTAATATAGTAAGGCGGCAAATTTTGTCTGTGCCAATTTTTTCCGAGGCTTAAAATATGAAAAAAAGGCAATTCTAAGCGAAACGAAATTTCGTCCTTTTGGATGTTAATGGGTTAATTTATTTTGATATCAAAGATGTTTTGCGATGTACGTTTTTGCACGACTCATTTTATTTTATTTTTCATTTTTTACTTTTAATGTGTTTTGCACGACTCAACAGGTCATTTCATTTTTTAATGTCAGCATTTGGGAAATTCAATTAAAAAAGCTAGATGTTTCAGATAGCATTTTTAGATCGCAAGTTTAGTCGCACGAAAAATAAACAAATAAACATTTAGTCTACAAAAAATTCGAATCATGAAGTTCACCATTGCTTTGGTCGCGTTATTCCTGGTCTGCGTAAGCACAAACTCACTAGAGTCGTCACGAGGTATTCAAAATTAATCTTTCACACTATTCATGAGATAAACATTTTTCGCAGGCAGCGCAAGCTCGAGCAGTCGAAGACGATGACAAGGAACAGTTGCACGTCTTCGTCGACCATCTGGAAGCTACCGTAAAGCCAGCCCTGACCAAGACCTACCACGAAGTCGAGAAAATTAAATCAGACATGGAAAATGCAAAAAAAGAGACCATCAAAATCTTGGACGTTCATGAAGAAGACGTGATCGCTTCAGTAAAAAACTTTTTTTTCTATTATAACGCTTCAGATCTGTGTATGAAATTTTTCTCAATTGCGTACAATTTAGTTACATCCGGTCGGATCTATAGAAATGCAAACCTTAGTCGACAGATTGAAGATAGATTGGGATGATCAGTTCGCTTGCGAGTCTAAGATGATCCAAGAAGTGTTTAAGTGCGGTGCTATCATGGATGTCCATTATCAATGCATGGAAGTTAAATCGTCGAAATCCCTGCAGACCTTGAACCAGGCCCTCTAGATGCTCAACAATACCTTCGTCGTCATTGACCATCAGGCCGAAATAGCTGAAAAATGCGCCGACGACTACATCCTCTCGACATCGTTTAACTTAACCGAGTGCTTGACCAAGGTAAGGATAAAAGTTGTTGAAGACGGTTTGTTTGGAGCAGTTGTTTACTTGTTTATTTTAAAAATCGTGGTAAATATTTTCAGGCTAAATTTGCCGTCGACAAACAACTGAAAGATCTCGAACAACTCAATTTGTTGAAGTTTAAAGATCAATATCATCAATTGTTGAAAGAATTAGAAGAGTGTCAACCACCAGAAAAAACTTGGGAAGACTTTATCGCCCGTTTGAGATTAGTAGGGAATACTGTCAAAAATTGCCTTCTCAATTCGTCGAACAAAAAAAAGGTTGAGTAAAATGAATCTGATTTTGGTTAGAAGCTAAGCAAAATAATAATAAAAGTTGTCAAATGTAGACATTATTTTCATTGGTTTTTCAGCTAAAGGCCATCAATTTAGATTTATTTTTTAATGCATTCTTTTTTTAAGAAACGATCCAATAACTTTGGCGCAAGCGCGCATGCAGAGTCAAATATATCGTCTGAGTTTTTTTTGTATTTCTTTTGTGTTTTCATTCGCAGTTGACACTTAACATAACCCCAAAGTGCTCCCAGGACTGTTGCAGGTGCCGAATTCCATCCGTTTCGTCTGGCGAAACGGACCCGTTTCTGCCAACGAAACGATACTTCTATCAGTGTGTGCAACAGCGTTGTCACTTGTATATCTATATGTATAAATTCGTCGCATTCGGCAGGATCGATCGGAATCCTCGCGTAATCCGCGTATACCGTGCGCAGTGCATAAATGTGTGCGAGTGTTTATATACGTAAAAGTGCAACAACAGTTGTAACGAGACTCGTCGTTTCCGCATTTTTGCCTGTGCGAGTGCGTACGCACCGTGTGCGTAAACGGCTCGTGTAATTGTTTCGAGTACATAGCGACTCGCGTACATACACGCATACGCATACCCCGAACGTTCGTTGGTGCATTTCGTAAGTGTGTGCGTGTATGCACGTTCGCGTAGCGTCCTCCTGCCCTCGTTACGTATAGGCGTACGCACACACATACATACATACATATGTGTACGAGCAGCTTACGTGCGCTCATGTTCCGGCTTCTGTCGTCGACCTATACACACGTTGGTGTGTGCACGCGAGAGAGAAGAGTGCGTAAGAGTGCGAGTGTGTGTGTGTGCAGTGCACTATGCGCACGCACGCTCGCTGCACTTGGCACCTATATACCCCCATACGTAGTTACGCGCGAGCGAGAGAAAAAGAGAGGCGGAGAGCGCACGAACGAACGGGAATCTAAATACGACTGATTCTTCGTGTTATCCTGAGATTCGAGACGACAATATTTTCTTTTGTCCGAATCTGATAAAAGAGGATAATACGAATTAATTTTTGCTCGAGAAACGAGAATGAAAAATCGTTGAAATCAGTTGGAGACACACACCACACCGTTGGTATCGCGCATCATGGTTCTTCGTCAGCTCGGCCGCTTGTTATACGCATATAAAAGACCTTGCGATGTTATACATGCTCAACTTATCTCGCTCCTCTTCCAGCTGAAGGGCAGCATCACAAGTGTCCGTGTGATCGTGCTCGCTCTCCGCGTGACTGCATTATAACTTGCACATTTGTATTCGAATTAATAATCGTCGATCATACCGATCTCGTTCGTTTTTGCTGCCCTGCGCGTATGAGTGTGTACGCGGCGCGCATGTATGGGTATTCATTTGTGCCGGATCGTAATTTTGTGTTGCATACATACACGAGCGTTATATACGCAGAAAAGAGCATAATTATAAATGATCATTGAAGAAGCAGCAGCAGCGATGTGCCCTCCGCGAATCGCTGCCACGTGTGGCTCGAGTACCTACACTCGGAAAATTGATGATGCGAGCTATAGCTGCAGCAGAGGGGCATGCATCGCGGAATCGAGACTTTGATATACACAATCAACCCGAGCCACTCTCTTGACATACGCGAATTGGTGGGTACAGATCTTTAAATAAAATTGTTTACTCGATTATTCTCTGCGTAAGTTTTTTTTTCTTTACTCTCTGTCTCTCTCTATCTTTTTCCGTCCTTCTTTCTGGCTCGGTCGAAAAGACTTTGCCGGTGCTGCTGCCGCTGCGCAAGGGGTCGTCGCTCGCTGGATAAAGAGAGCGTTAACCTCACTCCCTGAAAGAGGAATCGCGAGTATCTGTGCCTTGCCTTACCGCCATGCCTCCGTGTGCTTTTATATATTATTATTATTATATACCTACGTATAGATGCACAAGTACGGCGCGTCTACGTGCTCATGCGTATACAGCATATATACACAAAGCTCGGGTGTATTCACGTACATATAACCATGGAAAAAAATCGTTGCATCAGATCGTTGGCGCAAGAAAAAAAAAATAAGGCGATTGTCTCGATCGAGCTGTCGACGTGTTTAGCGCGCGCGCGCCAAACAAGACGCTGCGTGGCGCTATACATACTTAGCGAGCCATCCACCCATCGATTAAACACAGCGCAAATTTGGATACGTAAAGTCCGAAATTTTCCAATTGTCGAGATGAAAAGCGGGCGAGGGGAAGGCGCGCGCATTATGGTTCAACTTTTCGTCGGATCGATTTGCCACTTTGACGTGAACACACACACACACACAGGCTGCAGCTTCGTTGGTGCGCAGGCTTTCTCTCTCTCTCTCTCTCGCTCTTTCACTCTCAACCCCTCGCCTGTTAGACATTTTTTTTTCGCGTGAGCTTTTTTTCGACTACACACAGACGCGCGCGCGGTTTTTTGTTTGAATTTTTCCCTGGCTATATGCTACTCTCACTGCTACTGCTATATAGTACTCTGTGATGTCTGTGCGTGGAAAACGCATCAAAGCTGTACCGGCGCGCAGTACAGAGCTCTGTACCACGATATAGAGCACACGTATAGTGCATCGACGAAGCTCGGCCCTTTTTCCTCTCTCTCTATCTCTCTCTTTTTCTTTTTCCTACTATATATTTTTTGTGCTCGAGCTTGCAGCGTATATAACGTATATTTCTCCTGCGTCGTTTTTCCTATAACATATGTGTAATGCACATATGGGTGCACGTGTATGTATGCGTGTATATATAGCCCCGGAGTGTCGTGGACAGCTATGCGCGCCGCGCGTCGTCTAGCACCATATAACGCAAGTGCGGATCTCTCCGCATTCTCCACCAGCGTTAATTCCGTTCGTTTTATCCAGCTTCGAGTGTTTTGCCTTTTTTTACTTTATTGTAAATATATAGGTGTGTGTAAGTGTCCGTTGGGTTCTTTCTCTCTTACGCGCGTGCCGTCGACGCGCCATCGACGCGCCAGCCAAAGTGTATGAGAAGCTTTTTTTTGTCATTCTTCGTTCCTGACGGTGTATATATTGTGAGTTTATTTACAGCAAATCCGAATGTTTTTATCATTTTCCACGAGCCCGATGCAAATCGATACGTAAAAATTCTTTGCGAAAATCCCGCGGCTAGCAGGCATATCGCGTGTGTGCTCTGCTGCAGCCCGCGGGGGTTAACTCGTTGTCGCTTAGTATTTTTTTCATTTAGTGCTTTTCAAAGGGTTCATATATGCGTCTACATGGACGATGAAATGTTTGTGCACGTACGCGTATCCACGCGTGACCGAGCCCGATCGCACATACAGCTATATGCGGTCCATAACCGTGTACTGCTACTGCTGGTTTCGTTTGCACTCGTTTACGCGTTCATACATAGCCGACGCTACTGCTGCTACTGTGTGCAGCAGAGGGCCAAGCCCACCCCCGATCTCCTTCCTTTTTTTTTCTTCTCTTTATTTTGCCTTTGTCAATCTCTCTAACTCCGGAGCAGTTGGCACGAGAAGCAAATCGATGAATTCGTGAGGCCGAAAAGTTTACTTTGCGAGAAAGAGAGAGAGATCGAAGCGTATCGTAGGATGGCTGCGCCGATCTTTTGATTCGGATTCGAGGTAACGATCACGAGATGCATCAACAATTAAACGGATTTTTGAACTCCATCGAAACGAACTTCTTCCAAAAATTCCATCTGACTCGATGAATTCACGAATTATAGTGTCGTAACAACAAGGACAAGTTATTTTTGCTGATTGAATGCCCAGCGAGACATGTGTGTGTGCGACTTTGGGAGCGAGGAACAAGAAAAAGATGAGTAATTTTTCAACTTTTTCGCTTCGGACTTTCGAGATTTTCAATTATACTCGCGTACGAGCGTAAAAAAAATGTGCGAAACGCCGCCACGCGTGTCGGGCTCGTTCATTGACCAACATAATTTACGTTTATAATTGTCCCCGCGCGATAATCCTGTCGAGTTCATCATAATTAAAGGAAAGAAAAAAAAAGCATCGCGTCGACCGGTAAAAATAAATTGTCCTGCGAGCAGCGTAAGTGATGAGCTCGAGGAGTCACGATGCATAGCCAGCTCACACATACATACACACACACACACACACACACACACACACACACACAACGAAGTCCTTGACCTGCGACAATTCCAGGTCATCTCCGAAAGACAGATAAACTGGTCACACTGGGCTCTCTGCTGCCGTCTGCTGTGGCTGCCGCCACTGACAGAGGGAAAAGAGAGACGCGCACAGACACGCTGACGATCAAGAATTGTAAAAAAAAAAAGGAGGGAGAGGGGAGGAGAGGGAAGAGACACCGAACACGCGCGCTTGCATATGTACGAGCGAGATTTCAGACGCGCTATATATCGCCTGCGAGCTGCCTCGTTTGCGTCTCACACACTCGTGTACGCGCACACGCACACACACGCGCTTCACTGCAGTTTCATATGCGCGCGTGTGTGTGTGTACGCAGAGGCATAGCAAGCCTTTATAGGTATAAAAGAAAGATCATCATTGGATGTTTCCTGTGACTCGTCGCGCGCGTCTTATCTGACACAATTAAAGACTCGCGCGCGCGCGAGAGCCGAGGCAAGT